CCTTTATTAGAGGAGAAAAAAGTTTGTATGGATAGGTTTGTAGATTTTGGTCTAATAAGAATGCTGGGGGTGAGAGGAAAAGATGACAAACTTTCAGGTAATTAAATTATTTGAGTTCATTAATGACCATCTTTTCCTTCCCTATTCACAAAACCATCATGCCTATTTCAAAGGTAGGAAAGTGGAGAAAGCGCTTACTGTGACGAATCTTAGTAAGCAAGTACCATAGTAGCTATAACATTGAATCCGGATGCTCAGAATCATGGGATCTCCTAACAGCTAGACCATATTGCTGCCTGCTATGCAACAATTAATCTCTTAAAAGATTAAACAGACTTTCTTATAGTTATTTTAAGTAAATAACTAATATAAAGCTATTGTTCTGGCCTATGCAACACCATCCTGTTCACGTCATTAGAAAATTTAGTGGTTTTCCATTTAAGAGGGTTATTTCTCCCCCACCCCTGAATGATGTATTTCGCTTCTGCTCTTAATGTCACTGTTTTGCTTCGTTTTCCTGTGTTGAGTGTTTTGGCCACAGCTTCCAATTGAAATATGAGTGGGAGAAGCTGCCTTCAAAAAGCCTGCTTAAAAAATGATGTGTAAATACAGCACAATGATCTTCAGCTTTTGTAGGATGTGCAAGATACCAGTAAGGTGTAACGTGTGGTAATTAAAGGCTTATACCACATTGCCTATATACTCCCTAGGATTTTTTCAATTTATTTTTAGGCCCCATGTTTTGACCTAGACTTGAAGTAGTTTGGTTTTGATTTCCTTCACATTGACGGTTTAGGTGTACTTGTGCAGTAAGTGCTGACAAAGCTCTGTAGCTAGGTGTAGAACAGAATTTATTTAGGTATCCTCTCATTCTCAAGTATTATGAGCCTTTTTGTAACGTTAATCAGAGTGGATTAGTGACTGGGTGAAACCTACAATATGAAGTTTCTCAGGCAAACTTTCTGCACAGAAAGTTCAGGATTCTCAAATAACCAGAAGTGATTGAACCAGGAGAATAAACCATGTGTGAAGATAGTACAAAACAGCTGAGTTAATATTGGCCATTGAGAGCACCCTAAATTTTTGGTATGTAACAAGCATCTTCCTTTTGGATAAGGAAAAGCTAATCATGCAAGATGCTGAGGGACCATCATTTACAGACTATCAGGATCTGGGTACATCTGTCTTCCTTTCTGCATCATTTCCATTAACTGCCACTGTAGGATTTATCGTAAAATCATGGAGTTTGGAAAGTCCCACCTCCTGCCCAGAGGAGGTCTAGTTAGACCAGATTGCTCAGGGCCTTATCCTCATAAATAATGTATCTGTTTATGTACAGCAACATGGGATCTTTTGAATGCCTTGTGCCATCTGATTTGGAGATGCTCAGTTTAAACCTAGCTTTCACTAAATAATTGTAACGCAAACATCCTCAGAGGAAAGCAAAGACTGGTATTAGCTTTTCCTTTAATTATGACTGTTTCAGAAGAACATAGGGAAAGCATGGTTCTGTAGAAAAATCTCTTATTTTATTGAACTTGACCAGTATAGCTTTTTCAGTAGCCCCAGGAAAAGCAAAAAACCTGAATATTCTTTCTTTCTCCTTTCCCCACTTTCCCCCTGGCTCCTGCCTCTGAGTACATAGGTATCTTTGAACTATGCGTAATGGCGGGTGCTTCTGTAGGATTCCTTGATGCTGAATTTACTACTTTAAACACATTGAGATGTACTATAGAAGGTCTTTTCTCCTTGCCTTGGAATTTAGCTGCATGAAGCCCCGCTTGCTTATTGTAACCAAGTATACACTATGAGTTGAATTATTGTGTCAATGACAACAGTATTTTTCCTGCACAGTTGCAGTTTCTCTAATCTCAAGACTGAAATGTTATCTAGAAACTTTGCTAATGTTAACTCCTGCCACCTCCCTTTCCTCCAGCCTTGTGTTTAAATTCTCATTTTCTATTGCCACCAGACTCTCATCTAAGGAACATGGAAGCTGTGAAGCATGTCTGTAGAATTATCAGGATCTTTTCTGCAAGTTCTTGATTTTGAGATAACTAGCAATTGTTCTGCTATTCCTATTGCACCCTCTCTGTGTTAATCCTGACCTGAAGGGATGCTTTGGTCTGGGAGCAGATGCCTGTACTTCAGCCTTCCATCAGGAAGTTACTAAACTGTAACAATCTATTTATGGTAGCTTCTTTTGTACTGCTAATAACCCAGCAAGTGCTAAGATTAAGCCATCTCTGATTTTGTTTTGTGTGTGTTTGGTTGTAAAGACAAGTTAGAGCCGATGAAGTCAGCAGAGGGGAAGGACAAAGGAAGCAGAATCTTGATTCCAATAAGAATTTTCTTTGTCTGTTGAACAATGGGAATCCTTATGAATTCTCTAAATTTGGCTTTTTTATTTATTCAGATGTGAAAAATTTAAATTGAAGAAACTTCCAGCAAATCATTCTTGACTTGGGGGAGCAGTTTCCTTTCGGCTTTTACACAAGTAATTGTTACTTGAAAAGGAATTCTGTTTTCTTTGTTGTTTGTTTTTTTTTTTTTTACTAGATGATGTTGCTTTTGTATCTGTATGTTTTGCACTTCTCATAGTGGATCATTAACCTTTTTTCATCCTTGTGTTGTGGCTTTGTATTTTTCTCGTAAATGACAACGTGCCCATTTCTGAATTGATTTCACTTTATTGATCACCTCTTGCTCTAGGGGTGAGCTGAGATCCATGGAAACATTATCTTTTTAGAAGGAAGTGGAATTAAAGCTGCTCTAGCACCTGCTAATGTAGGATGCAACCAGACTTCCTCTTCAAGAGGAAATCCTAATTTACTCTTCCTTGTAAACTGAAGGCTGATCAGCTTACCACATAGTAACCTTTTGACTTGTAAACACTGTGTTCCTTTGGACTGCTTTTAGCCTCTAGAAATTATCTCCCTCGGGCTTGGTGGTAACTTTAACGGTAAACTTTGACTGTGGCGAATACCATGAGAAAGCAGCGAACCTTTTCTGCTGAACTAATTTTGATGCAGTCAAGCATGCCTACAAACTCAAGTAGGTGTTTAAGATACCTTCAAGTTCTAAGAAGGTGGCTGTATTTTTCTTTGCACTCTTAATCACCAGTGCCGTGTTAAACAAAGAAACCTGTTATCCATTGGGTATGGAAAACAAATTGAGTTATTGTGATTATTTGCTTTGTGATGCAGACTTTCAGCACTTGAAAATGCTTGTTATATGTGGGTGGGGAGTTGGCTCTGGCTAGGATAGTCATGGTGAATCACTGGCAGTAGTGCCAGGTTTGGCATGGATGGAGATTTGGGTTGGGGCCAGTAAAGCGAGTTACAGTGCTTTTTTTTTTATTGTTTATTACCAGCCCCTGAAAACATTTTTCTGTCCTTGAGGAGGAAGGAAGAGATCAAATTTAGCAGGAGCAGTATTTGTTTCCTCTTACTGCTAATACAGCTAAAGAAAGCTGCTTCTGAAATGCGGGTGTTCTCCAGGCTTCTGACAGCCTTGCTTAGATGAGCAATTGGAGGCCTCTGGACTAGGTACACAGCTGAGGCTTTCCTTAGGGATCCTGCAGCTGTGGAGTTTTGAATGAGGAGCAGATACTGGGACTAAGAACTCAAAGTAGTCCTAGAACTTTATAGAAAAAAAACTGTCTTGCAAGGATCTGCATCTACATTCCTTCTGCCTATGTAAATAGTAGAAATTTAAATAACATGCTGCCAGTGTAACCTGTTCTATTCCTCTGGGGATTGATACAGCTTACTGAAATGGTGGAAGTGGATTGATTCGCAAGGAACCAAGACTCCTTGTTTATACTTCTTTTCCTTGTCGTCTTTCACGCACCCCAAAGACTTAAGAGTTTATTTTCTGTTCTTTTATGGTATTTAAAGCATGCTGATAATAGAATGGTTTTGTTAAATCTAAAAAAGTACTGTTTCCCTTGTAATGCTTTTTTTCCCCTAGGCACAGGGCTCCACTGGCGTGCATGTGCCCAAGTTGCATTCAGTGGGTTTTTATGCATCTCTTTGCTGCTAGTATGGCTCTTGAATTGTTTATAAGGAATACTCTTAAAATAACAGGCAGAATTTTTTTTTTGTTGGCCCAAAAGAACAAGCTTGATATTTCATACACCTTTTAATCAAAAAGAAATATATGTTAAAAAAGAAAGGCATTAGCCTATGTTTCTTCTTTTTTTTTTTTTTTTTTTTTAAGTTTAGACTTTAACACTTTTCCTGTAGCATGAACAGTTGCTTTTGTTAGCAGAATTCTTTTACAGGATAACGTAAAGATAACTGGTCTCTGAAGAAATCTTGTGAAAACATTTCAACTCTGCTTAAAACAAATGAATTATTAATGTCTTTTGTTTCTGTTCTCTCTCCTCCTTTCTCCAAAGAGCACCCTTTTTCATAATGTCACTAGGGAACATTGACTATATAATAGAATAAATCTGTAAAAAGGGTTCTCTTGAGAAACTAAGTCCTGAGAAAATTGAGAAGACAGCTGCATCTCTGGCTGCCCTGGTCTTTCAAGACTGTAGCACTCCAGAACAAAGTAGCTAATACCTTGAAAGCTATCTTCATAGAGAGAAAAAAGCTATGGTGCTTGATGCAGTAAGCCAACAGTCTCCTTTTGAAAAGTAGTTTCAATTTCTTTATACCAATCACAACTTTTATCCTAGTGTGAGATGATTATGTGAAGATGGGACTTCTTGTGAAAGAAAAACTAATTTATGTACAGTTCTCATAACGCATAGTGTGTGGTGCTGTTTGTTGCCATGGTATGTAACATGGTTGAGCAAGATGAGTTCCAGTAAGGATGTTCAACAGGACTAGTATGTCCCTTCTAAACAGGAGAAATAAAGTTGTGCTATCTGCACATTGAACAGTTGACCTTGTTCTTGAGAATGGTAAGTGTAGTGTTCTAAATACCTGTAATGCTGATAATTAAGCATCACGTTGCTAACTTTTTTAACATGTGAACTTACATCTTAGGTGTCATTATGGTTGGCAAGGACAGTTCTGTGATGAGTGTGTCCGCTACCCAGGCTGTGCTCATGGGAGCTGTAATGAACCATGGCAGTGTAATTGTGAAACCAACTGGGGTGGCCTGCTCTGTAACAAAGGTACTTAACATTAATGTACAGGAAAAATAATTAAAGTTGCATGATTAACTGTAACTTATTAACCATTTTTTTCCTGCTAGTGTGCAACTACCTGAGTATTTCTGTGCCTCATTCTTTTATGGCAGTTGATGCCTAAACATTATGAGTATATCAAGTTTAAGACAAAAGGCTTGGAATCATCCCGACTCTTCTAACTCATGCAGTTGTCTCTTGCTCATCCTTCTCTGTTCTGTGGATAGTAATGAGATGACAGGCTAGCTAATGGAATATGGGGATGATGTGGGTGAATGATGTTCAAGCCAGAAAGGCATCTGTATGTCTGACTAGGGATTAAAACAGTGAGATTTGTGTTCCCTGTTGATTGACACTTTTCTCTGTCCAGATCTGAATTACTGTGGAAATCACCATCCTTGCCTGAACGGTGGAACCTGTATGAATACTGAACCAGATGAATATCGCTGTGCTTGCCCAGATGGCTACTCTGGAAAGAACTGCGAAATTGGTATTTCTGAATATTGCATGTATCTTCAGAAAACTGCAACTGTTTTAGGCATGGCTATGTTCTAGTTAGCCAGGTGGCATTTTTAGATGCTCGTTGTTGCATTATTTTTGTAGAGTGGAAGGCCTGTTTTCTCCTTTCCAAAAGCTAGCTTGGTTTCTGATATGCAACTCGTCCTTTCAACTTGATTGTTACTTTGTGTGACAGTGGGGATATGCCAGCTCCATCTTTCCAGCCATAGGCTAGCTATTCGAAAAACCTGAAGACAACAGAAGTGCTGCAACAGTTTCCCTTGGATTTAGATAAGACTGAGAATATTTCTTCCTTTTGGCTTCTTCACTTCCTTAATCCAAGCATGCAATTGGGCTATAGTCTCATGGAAATGGGTTACAGGTGCACCTTCCCATTACCTTTCTCCCTGCTACCCATTTTCTTGTCTTCTGGCTTGCTTGCAAACATGCATCTTATACAAGCTGGCGACTAAGGAAGAAAGTAGTGATGGACACTTCAGTTTTAACTGTGGTGTGGGGTTTTGGCCCAATTTTTAGCTGCCTTAATGTGTTGACTATTCTTTTTGATCAACTGAAATTTGATTTTTAAAATCATCTTTTAATATGGGACTCTTAATACATTTGGATTAATGATGCAGATGTTAACTGCTACGGAAATGTGTTCAAGCCCTCCTACAGAGTCACCTTGGGCAGTCTAAATGAAAAGTTAAGTGTATTCTCTGCACCCATTGGCAAAATGGAGGAAAGCATTTAAACCATATTTCTGATGAAGTATGCCTTCTTGACTAGAGTTTAACAGATCTGTGTCTATCCAACATGAAAAACTGCTTCCTATCTCAGCTGCACTACAAAGATAGTGTATTGCTTTTCATGTGTATCTGTGTATGTGTTATACAAAGACCAAAATTTTCATCTGCTGGAGACTATTGGTATTTGGAGACTTCTCCTGACTCTTCTGTCTCTGGAGATAAAGGGGCAAGTGCGCAATTTCTCTTTCTTTCCTATTTTGCTTTAAAGATTTGATGTTTGGAGAAAAATGAAAACTTTCGCTTCAACTTTTTCACCTGTAGTATTCACTTGGGTGTTCTGAGGTGACTTTTCCTTGCCGTTATGGATTGTTAAATCCTTTTTTTAGATGTGATATTCCTAGTCTTCCCACTTTGAATTTTGCTATTCCTTGATATAGTTATAAGTGTAGATGGAAAGAACTCAGGTTTTTTTTTCTTTAACTCAACTGTTTGGCCTTCAGTTCACTAAACTATTATCAGCAGAAGGTTTTCACATTTAACAGGATGTAGGTTGTCTTTGAGCTTCTATAAAGCGCTCTGTGGTATTAATGATACTGTGAAAGCTTGAATTTTGCTTCAGCTGGTAGAATGTGATGCAAAGTTTTGGCTATAATGGATGAAATCTTGTCTTAGCTTGCTCTGCAAGTTGTGGGGAAGCACCTTGGCTCTCCAGATGAGGAGGCAGTGATAAAGGGAGCCGTACATTTGATGAGTTCTGTACGGATTATGAGCAGTAGATTGGTAGTAGAGCTGCTTTAGGTACTAGTACCTAACTAGTAACATCCTAGACAATGTAAATTCAGCTTGCAAACTAGATAACATCCCTGAAAGAAAGATTCCAAAAAATAAATGCTACCAACAGTTAGAAAGCCTTACCTAGTAAGAGGATTGTTTTCTTCTTTCCAAAAGCTTCCTTGGCTTCTGACAGGGAAAATATCAAAAGTGATGGCATACAACTTGTCCCTCCTACTTGATTGTTGCTTAGTGCAGGATCTGCAAGTGTTACAGCCCTACATGGAGTGACAACAAGCAGTACTGCCTGTAATACCAAGTAGCTCTATACTTTGCTGTTTCCAAGGAACAGTATTAGAATGAAGCTAAACAGATCTTTGACACTTAAACTACTACTACTGTTCAGACCTCTGCATACAGCATGTCTGTTTTGTCTCACTGAAGGAAAAAATAAGAAGTGCTGGAGCACTCCAGAGGTGGAAGTGCATGGCTGGAAGCAGTAGGTTAATAGGGAACTTCTCTAGCTCTTGGGATATTGAGATATGAGTAACTTGTCTGCCTTCAGGCATTCTAGTCAGTAGATATGAAGGATGAGGCACCTTCAGTAAAATCCTGCTTCAGTCTCCTCCTGGGAATTGTAGTCTCTGCAGCTGGGAGAGGGAGGCTCCAAACTTCTGTACAGGCACCTCTCTACTGCTCATGCTCTTGGTCACTTTAATCAGAACACAATTTCTAACCATGTAAGTTCTCCTTAACTGATATTGGAAGAGTATTTAGCAAGAATTTCTTTTTCTCTTTCTTCCCAGCGGAGCACGCTTGCGTATCTAATCCCTGTGCTAATGGTGGAATTTGTCATGAAATTTCATCAGGCTTCAAGTGTCACTGCCCATCAGGGTGGAGTGGACCAACATGTGCTATTGGTGGGTATGCATTTACTGATGACTGACCCATTGGGTTGGAAGGGTTGATGCAACTTACTTGACAGCCGTGCTCTGTGGGTATGGAATTTGGTGGTAGTCTTTTACCTTACCTGTCTTTTAACAGCCATGTATTGGGAGCCTCTGAAAAGATTAATGGTACTGTGCAGCCAGCAGTAACTATTTGATGCAGTTGAGATCTACAGGTTATCGAAAACATAGCTGGACCATATACAAAGAAATGCCCTGTTGCCAAAGCTTGTAGGATAATTTCTGACTCTTTAGCTGGTCTAAGGCAAAATACAGAATGGGTTTGTTTTAAGAGGTATAAATGTGAAAATGAAAGGTTGTCTTCTTAAAGTAGTAGAAGAGTAGATTACTCACTTAAATGCTTAAGTGTCTGGTTTGGAAGACAGGGAAGGGGTTGAAATGTATTATGGACCTATGTAATTGGTTTACATGTTGCCTGTGATTTGGAACACAGAATTTTTATCCATTTTTCAACAGCAACTATCCTCAAAAAAAATACTGGCTAAACTTGTGTCATCATCTAGGAACATGACTTTCAGTGAATGTGTTAATCGTTGGCAGATTAACTGAATCATCTTGCTGTTTGCAGACAGAAAATTTCAGACTTCCTCTCTCCCCTATCTCAAAGATGTGAGAAAAGCCTAAGTAAAAATTAGGTTAGAAATGTTAGTCTGTTCCTAAGCTTATTTGTTTGTACATTCTCCCCCTTCATCTCAAAATAACTTTAAAAAAAAAAAAACCCACAAGTTAAGCCAAATTTTAAACCATGTAATGGAAGGCACACTTTGACTTTCCAGATATTGACGAATGTGCATCTAATCCTTGTGCTCAAGGAGGGACCTGTATTGATGGTGTTAATGCATTTGAGTGTATATGTCCACAACAGTGGATTGGAGCAACATGTCAGCTTGGTAAGTAATTACCTTCTAAAGTTTTGAAGACCACTGGAGATTATTCATAAATAATGAATGACTCTGTGTAAGTGTGTTTCTGATACGATTTTTATTGAAGAAAACATTGAAGATGTGCATTGCTATTGGTACCTTGGCTCTTCTTTAGTAGATCTTAAAGCCAGAAGTTTCAAGTGAACCTGTAACTGTTTAAGCCCCGACTTAAGCTTACTGATAATAGTTCTTCTAGAATGCCCGATAACTTTTCTGTTTCAAAATACAGCATTGGTGATGGTAGCTCCTTCTTCATGGTGGCAGAACAGTGACTATAAGCTTATGGAGGCAAGGAAGGGATTTGCCCTGACTAACATATTACCTTTTTGAGTTTTGGCAAAGGGCAACAACATAAGATAACATGCATGTGCTACTACAGACAAGTGTGCATTAAAAACCTGTGGTATGTAAATGGTTTTAGTGGCATACCAGTGTATAATATGAGCTTCTGATGCTTGGATTGCATGGAAACTTTGCTTGGTGCTGTGGTAATCTGTTTCTGGGTTTGTTCTTTATTCTCTTCTTTCTTTTATCTTCTTTCACAGATGCTAATGAGTGTGAGGGGAAACCCTGTGTTAATGCTTACTCTTGCAAAAATCTCATTGGTGGATATTACTGTGACTGCATTCCAGGATGGACAGGAGTAAATTGTCATATCAGTTAGTATTTCTTTAGTATATATGTTGACCATAGGATGCTTTATTCTTTAAAAAAAGGTTTTTATGATGAGCAATAGTATACATACTTGTACAAGAAAAAACACCTGTTGTCAGGATTTTCCTAACTTCCAGCAATGTAAATTGAAAATACTGTTTGAAAATTTATTTAGAAGTGTAATTGGTATTAAAAGGAGGTTAGATATACACTTATATAACTCTAATAAATCTCTTCCTATTCACTCATCCCTGATTCTGAATAATATTGTGTACTGATTCAATTGAAAATACTTTTAGCTAAAATGTTAGATATGAAATTAGCTGATAGCATTTGATTTAATTTCTATTACACTGTAATAGAAATATATAATATGTAATTTTCTATTACATATTCTTTAAAATAAGAATCTCTTAAGATATCAAGCATCCTTGCTTTCCATTGAAACATCTAGAAAAATCCTTCTGAAAATAACTTGTTCTGCATTTTTATGCTAGACCTGGACTTTACAGCTTAGTCTTCCAGTATAAATTCTAATGCCTTGCATATTTTATCCATAGATATTAATGACTGTCATGGACAATGTCAACATGGAGGAACTTGTAAGGTAACTCTTGTTTATTGCATGCCGTGTGGAAAATAAATCTTATTCTGCCTAGTTATGAGTTATATAGTTGGCAATTACAGGTTGGTTAAATGTTAAAAGTGTAGCGTTGCACTTGCAGGCTCTTGTGCCATTTCACAAAATAATTTTATGTGGTGCTACTGCTGTTCACAAATCCAGAATATAGAAATAACTTGAATTCTTGTGTGCAAGTTCTATCAATAAATAAATCTTTCTACTTTTGCTTTTTATTTCCCCCCTTCTGTGAAGGATGAAGTGAATGGTTACCATTGCTTATGCCCTCGTGGTTTCACAGGAAAAAACTGTGAGATGGAAACAAATGAGTGTGAAAGCAATCCGTGCCAAAATGGAGGCCGTTGCAAAGACCTGGTGAATGGATTCAGTTGCCTGTGCTCACAGGGCTTCTCAGGAGTCTTCTGTGAGGTGAGGGCAGTGGTGACATTACTGCAATACTTTTCATGGATTAAATTCTTGAAAGAAACCTATCTCTGGGTTTAAATGGGAGTAACCCAAGGCTAAAGCATTACTGACTAACGTAGCTGTTACTTGACACTCTGAATAAGCAAATTTGTTGTGCAGTGGTGTCGTAGTAGCTGTAACACTTGAATTTGCAGCCTGATAAACTGCAAGTTGTTGCACATAAGTGTTGGCTCTCCTAAATGTTTTATGGCTGCAAATATTCCTTAAGCTTGAAACATTTTCCTTTGCAGTTTTCAGGACCTGTGTCCTTTTATTATACTAGAATGTTTTAGCTCTTCATCCTCGTAACTCTGAAGTACATAATTGAATTACCTTTCAGGTAATCCTACTGCTGTTGGTAGAAGTATCTACATAATTAAATGCAGGCAGATACACAAGTATTGGCTCTCGGAACTTTCTGCTTGAGAGCATTTTACGAATATGCAGTTCTAGTGCTTAAATAAGGATTCAGATCTGAAATACTGAAGTGCTACTGATAATTTATAAAGTACTTCATGATAATGACGATCTGTCTCTTTCTAGGGAGGACATTAGACTTTTCAATGTAAAATTATATTGCCCTAAGTATGTACTTTCTGGGTTTTGCTGATAGCCAAATTCATGTAAGTGTTATGGTCAGCCAGGTGGCATTGGATTAGAATTTGGTTGAATTTGCTCCAGATTTTTTCATGGAGGACATTAGAGTGATCTCTCTTAAATGTTGAAGTAATTTTATTCTGTATTATTTGCATTGTTAAAGAAACAATGCCCTCCTTTTATTCAAAATTAAAAAGGGTTGCAGATACTGACCAGTTTAATGAAGCTGGTGCAGTAGCTAATAGCTCATGTACCATTTCTACATAAGGATCATAGCTGGAGTGCTCTACTCTGGGCTGATTCATACCATACTGTGCAATTAAAGTTTTAGCAAATCTGTTTGAGTAATAGGGGGGAGTTGGCTGCTTGCCTTGTGTGTTGCAGGAAATATCTACCGTTGATTCCAGATGCTAAAGTACCAGCTACTGAACTTGCATTGGGAAGGGGAAATTTACACTAATGGAAGGAAACAAATGGAGACATCTGATAGAGGAGATCTGAGAATCATTCTCAGACCTTAGCTATTTTTTGTAGTTTGCTTTGAATGTTACATATGAGAGCACGAAATAGCTTGCTGAAAATCTCTCTATTGCAGCTGGAATTGTGCGTGCTATTCTGAATTAAATTCTTAACACCATTTGTGTTCCTTCTGTTTTGGTTAGCTTTGATTTTTTTTTTTTTTTGGTTTTTT